AACTAGCCTCCTTTTTCCATAACTGGCTAAGATTTAATACCGCAAGTGATTAACAGAGTATAATCCCAATCCGTTTCTTTTTGGTTCTGGCAGGCTCATCCGAATCTAGATGAGATCGAGCGGGAGAAAGTGTGCAGTGTGATGGATCCACTCAAGCTATCCTACGAGGCAAGGGTCCATGCTTCACAGAACAAGCGCTTGCCAGTACAAATCGTTCTTCATGCACTATACTACGATCAGCTGAAATTAAGAAGTGGAACTGAAGATCAAAAGATGCCAAATGCAATTACTACGAGACGCCAATTGCAGGCTGATACATCACTGGCTAGAGAAAACGAAGAATTGCGAACGGAATTGCTAAAGATGAAAATGTACATAGCAGATTTGCAGAAGACACAGGGGCCATCTACCAAAGCAACTGCGGCAAGTTCCCGAAGGCCAACATTCTTCTCCTCTATGTCCAAGACACTGGGGAAACTGAACCCGTTCAAGCACGGATCAAAAGATACTTCTAATCTAGATGATGCTCTGGTAGATATTTCCAAGCCTAGGAGGAGAAGGTTCTCTATTTCCTAGATCGATTCTCTCCATTGATCAGGGATTAAATTTTTACGTTTCTGTCTTGTGATGAATTTGTGCATTAGGATTGGTGTTTTGGGTGAAGAACTTGTCGTTGGGTTTGTGAAATATTTCAGTTTGTTTCTGTCCCCAAACATTTGTGTGTCATTGACCATGACCGAGTATATGGCACACTTTAACTTCTTTTTTTTTTTTTTTAAATGAAGTTCTAAAACAACTTAGGAGATTGATATTATATATTTGAGTCTCTAGTTTTGAACTTGAGTAATTTGTTTCCTTGTCTAACGTTCAGCCAGGTTGGTTATACTTTAGTTTAGGAGGAGGGCGCACCGGACATAAAATTTATACAGCGCTGATAGTGTAAAATTTATACACTGTCAGTAGTGTAGAAAAAAGTAATTCATAAAATTTATACTAACATATTTTTAGCATTAATATTTCTAAGTTTTAATTGAGATAACTAGTAGTCCACTAGTTATAACAAGGCACATAATTCTGAAAGGTAAAATAATAGCATGGTGGATAACGCTGACCTTTCTCTTTCCACATAATTAAAACATAGTCAATCCACCTGTTGAGCTTTCTCTTTCCAATTAAGTGGATAAAATGTAAAAGCAACCAATATTAATGATGGGACAAACACGAATTTGAGAAAACGTTGCAGCTGATTCAATTCTAGACTCCTCAAACCATCAATTGCCACCTAAGTTCATGTTTGATAGTTCAATTCAACACTTAAATTTAATAGATTTAGATTTTATCATGTTTAAACACGTTTGATAATAAAAAATTTAATGTATGAATTAATTATATAGCATTAAATTTTTTAGACAAAATTTGTTCTAAAAAAATAAGTGATAAGTTATTCACTTATCATTTAATATGATATGCATGCATTCAAATGTATCAAATTTAGTTTTTAACAATTCAATAACTTAATAGGTTCATACTTCATATTTCAAATTTTAATTTTTAGACTTGAGTTTTATCAAACGCTCTCTATAGGTGTATTTGATAAAATTGAAATCTGAAACCTAAAGTCCGAAATATAAATTCTGAATCCATTAAATTATTAAATTGTTAAATATTAAATCTAATACATTTGAATGCATATCACATTCAGTGATAAGTGAATAGTTTATCACTCAATTTTTGGAGTAAATTTTACCTAGAAAATTTAGGGTTACTTAATTAATTTATATGTTCAATTTTTTAGTTATTAAATGATTTGAATATGTTAAAATCTGAATTCATTAAATTTAAGTGATAAATTGGATTATTAAACAGGGAGTAAGTCATTTACGGTAAAAATTGCAACAATGAATATCCAAGAAGTTCGAGGACATGGATTAAATCAATATTCAAAGTAAACTTTTTCGACTTTTGTTGGCCCACCATTTAAAAAAAAAAAGGGGGTTTCAGACTTTGTGGCTTAAGCTTTAAACTACTTTGTCCCTTCAAAAGTAGGATTAGGACAGCAAATTGAATCCACTTAACATTCAAACCACTCTAACTCGTTGGAAGATAATTTGTTCATAAATCAAACTGCAAAAAGGTTTTTGTGTTCGTAAACGTTTAAAATGCTTCAACTTGACCTTATAAGTGTGAAATTTTAAATTTTAATGTAATATCAGAATTACTTAATATTTAATAGTTTTATGATTAACAAAAATGGTGACTAGTTGTCTCAAAAGCCAACTTAACTGGTAAATATATTAGTTGACCATGAGGTTTTGATTCGACTCTCAAACCAATGGCGAAGTATTCATGGGGTGCAATAATATTTGCTTAAATGTATGACATGTTGGTTCATAAATTCTTGAAACAGCTGAATATTTGTTATAGAAGGCATGTAAAAAATTGTCATAAAAGGACACCAATTTATTCAATGATCAATATTACAAAAGTTTTGACAAAAATTGCATAAAACTTGTGATTTATTATTTGTCATATATCTAATGGTATAAAATTATGTATTAATTAAAATGATGCATATGAATACAGGATTTAAATTCATATATATATATATATATATATATATATATATAGTAGGGGAATAATTTATGCACTATCAAGTATTTATTGTAAATCGTATGATCAAAGAAAAGTTGGATATGAGTAAATAAGTTTATTAGGAAGGGAAAAAAAGTATATTTTTGTTCACGGTTTCATTTATGAAAATGGCGAGGGTAATTGTAAAAAATTTCAACCCTTTTGAAGGACAATTGTGGGGTCAGAGGGAATTCTATCAAAATTCGAGGGGACAAGAGTGGGGTAGTAGTAATTAAAAAATATATATTCTACAGTCCCTACAAAGTTGAGAGAATGCAATTGTACCCTTTAGCTAAACATGGCTTCACCATAATTTCTCCTTCGTCCGCTGTACGGTTTGGAGTCTTTTATTGGACTTAAAAAAAATGGTCCACTAATTAAAAAGTTTCTTTGAGTCCTTTTCCCCATTGCCCCTTGTAAGGTTTGGAGCCTCGTATTTAAAAAAAAACAAGTCCGCTTATTAAATTTTTTTTGAGGCTTTGATTAGATGGTACTAATTATTTTGAGTTTTTCTAGCAGGTATTAATTAGACACTTGTTAATACACTTGAATTTTACTTAATCTATTATGTATATATACATATTAACAATTACTACATGCTCTTACATTTATACATATTCTATAATTAATATTACCTTTCAAAAAATCTAATATTTGAAGTACATCTTAATACATGTTAATTAAAATCTAATATCTGATAGTACATCTTAATGAATATCTAATTGACACACATTAGATAGATCCAATTATTTAAACCATACCTCATTGGTTTATTTTGAAAATTAGCTTGTGTACTTTTGACGAATGTTCAATTGGCACCCATAAGAAAGATCAAACTATTTAATCCATACCTCATCTGTGTATTTTGAAAATCCTCTTGTATACTTTTAATAAGCACCCAAAATAGGCTCAAAAGATAAGCGATAGCACAACCTAGCCAGGATAAGAAAGGGCTTCTATGGTAGTCCATTTATCAAGATAATTTAATCATTGATAAAAAATCTCAGCGGCTATTAAATTATTGATCAGATCATGTTTTGACAATCAAACTATTTTTTATCAATAATTAATCACTAAACAACTTAATTAGTAAATTCGTAACAATTTGGTTGATAATTGCTCTTAATCTGAAAAATTAACAGTACACGTGGCAAAATACAAGGATAATTATTTGTTTGGATTGTAAGTTATTTGAGATATTTTTACTGTAGTACTTTTTGTAATGTGACGTATGTAAGATAAAAAAATAATTAGAAAGATAAAAAGATGTATTGAAAATTATAATGACGATGTAAGCAAATATATTTGGAAAAATAACCAGCTGTCCAACTGTGCGACGTATTCTCCTTTTAATTTCTTTTCTCAAACAATCACCGAATGAAAAATTATGAGGAAAAAATAGGAGCTGAATTGGGAGCCCCAAATCTTCAGCCACAAATCCAAGAAGCCGAAGAAGAAGACAAGAATGTCGAGGCGCTCTGCTAAACCTAGATGCTTCTGCAAATTAACAGCAACGATGAAGACCTCATGGACAAATTGAAACCCAGCAAGAAGATAGGTGGTCTGCCTAGGAGAGGTAAGATTTTTTCTAGAAATGTTGCCTTTACCAGAAGAAGAGCGAGCTCTGAAAGCCATCTTGCGGAGAAGCTCCCAGCCTTCGTCTGGGTTAAGAAACCTCATCCGGTGAACGAATCCTTTGTCGTCGGCTGATGAAGAAGCAATCTGGTCTGCAACTCGGTCATCCCGAGTGGTGAGCAGCACTCTGCTGGCGTTTGGTTCTCGAGACAAAAGTGCAATGCGGAGGCACTCCCAAGCATCGGTAAAGCAGACATCATCCAAAACAATCAAGAATCTCTTCGACTGCAGGCACTGGTAAAGCTTCTGAGCCAAGTCCGAATCTGAAAATGGGGCCATATCATCCTTGGCTCGGCAGACATGTTGCAGCAGCAAATCTTCCAAAATTTTTCTGGTGCGGAAGTCCTTCCTCATCATAGCCCAAGCAAAGCAATCAAAATGGCGGCCACTTAAAACCTCCCATCATCTTGCTTTACTGTCTAATCCACTAAAAATTACTCGGCACTTTTGTCACGTGCACTGTTAATTTCTCATATTAAGAACAATTATTAACTAAATAATCACAAATTTATTGATTAAATTATTTAGTGACTAATTATTGATGAAAAATAATTTGATGGTCAAAATATAATCTGATCAATAATTTAGCAGCCGTTAAGGATTTTTGCTATTTAATCATAATCCGAGAAGAAAAAGAAAACGATTTTGAGGGGGTTAGTCCAAAACGACGTCGTTAAATTGGTTTCCTCCACCATACGACAATCCCCCATAAAACCCTTTAACACATCAATACTTTTCTTGTTTCCTACTCCATTCACAATCGGCTTCTCTTCTCTCAAAATCTCCCAAATCTTTCCGGCAAATTCCACCATCTCCACCAATGGCTGCCCCAATGGTTCTCGATCCAAAACTAACATTAGATTCTCTGGCAACACGATCGGACCCCTCTACCATAGATCCGTCCTCCTCTACCACGGCGGATAACGAGGAAGACCTCTACACTCGCCTCAAATCCCTACAGCGGCAGCTCGAATTCATCGAAATTCAAGAAGAATATGTCAAGGACGAGCTCAAAAACCTGCGCCGGGAGCACTTACGGGCACAAGAGGAGGTCAAGCGGATCCAATCGGTCCCGCTGGTTATCGGGCAATTCATGGAGATGATTGATCAGAATAATGGTATCGTGGGCTCTACTACTGGGTCTAATTATTATGTCAGAATCCTTAGTACTATCAACCGGGAGCTTCTTAAACCCTCCGCCTCCGTCGCGCTTCACCGCCACTCCAATGCCCTAGTGGATGTATTGCCCCCAGAAGCCGACTCTAGTATATCGCTTCTCAGCCAGTCGGAGAAGCCTGACGTCACTTATAATGTGAGTTTTATGGATGTTTGGTTTGATTAAGTGGTTTTATAGTTATGTGCGTTGTGGGAATTTGAAAACTACGGTCTCTATTTTTTCCCTCCTGAAATTTGGAATTGAAGTTTGATTTTGAGCTGCAGAGTTGGATGTATTCTGGTATATGGCAAAGTTTTGAGCTTCTAGTGCATGTATTTATTGTTTAGACCAATTTGTTTACTCCGTCAAAAGTATTTTTTTAGTCATTGAATTTTTTGTTGAGTACTAGTATCTGATTTACTGCTGCAGTTTTTGAGGCAATCACATTAGTGGAGATATTTCGTTTTTGTACTCAGCATTTAGACAGAACATGTGATGCTTTAGCGCTTATTAACTAGGGAGGTTATAGTGGGTTGGTCACTTGAAGTTATGAAGTTCTTGGGCTATTCTTTTGCTGAAGAAAACTACTTTTTACTAGTTAAGAAGGATGAATGATGATGGTTTCTCTTGATTGTTAATCCAAAAGACCTGTCATGTGGCATGTGGGGAACATTTCACTGTAAAAAATTGTTGTTGAGTCCCTGCATCAGTTGTTTATTTAAAATGTAGAAAGATGCATTTCTCTGTAGTGTCTTATATTCAATTAAAAATCATACTGCAGTGTTAGTTGATGTTTGTTTATGTGTTAGATTTATGCATTTAATGCTGTCTACTGTGTAGTTTTACTTAATTATAGAATTACATCCAGATTTGAGAGATTAGTCTATAGCAAAAGTAAACTTTGTGTACTAATTATTTAGCATATGTGCATGGAGCTGCTATAGTGTAATGCATAGAGCCATTGAGTAACTTCAATAGCTGGCTCGGCCTTGTTGATCAGCACAATCTATGTTGATCAGCACAATCTATTTGTTATAAGTCTAATTTGGGCTTGACTGAAAGCTGTGCTGAGTATGTGGCTTTTTCTGCCCTTTAGTGTATTTTCATGTATGCAATAAGAGACCTGATAAACTTAGTCATATTCTGTAAATAGATTAACTGAGACTTAGGTTTGGTTTTCATTCTGTTAGTTACTTCCTGTTGCTTAACAGCATCCAGCTACCTATATTAACCTGAATGTTGCCCCTCTTTGTATGCAACAAATGCAGCATCAGCTTCTTTTAAAAGAGTGATGTTTGTATAAGAAAATTGTACATTGAATTGAAACTTAAAAAAACCCACTCCCTGGTCCTTTCTCTGATAAAGTAGTGAAATAGCTGTGTAGGATGGTGGAAATGCATTTTAGATCTATCTCTGCCTCTACAGGTCTGTATAGCGTAATTTGAGTTAATACATTTTCTTTAACCATCTTCCGGGTATGGTGTGTGACAATCAATCTTTTTTCTTCACTTGCTATTTTAGTGGGCCAATGTATAAAGATTAGAACTTTATATCATCCCTGTTCTGCTGGGTTGGTTTTTCTATAACTGACTATTTTTATTGTGCAATATGTGCAAGTAGCTTTTTCCTTGACAGCGAGATGCCTATTCATGGTATATAATTCTTCTAACTTTTTTATCCCACTGTGTGATTCCTTCATCATTCAGTCTGGTGTGAATAATAAGTCACCGGGAATAATAAGTCATGTGGTGTTTGTTTTGCATTGTTTGGTTATACTTTTTTGGAATACAATTCCAGAAATTAATTTGTTTCAATCCATTTGCTGGTGTTTGTCAGGACATTGGAGGGTGTGATATCCAGAAGCAGGAAATCCGTGAAGCAGTTGAGTTACCTTTGACTCACCATGAGCTGTACAAGCAGATTGGTATAGATCCTCCCCGTGGTGTGTTGCTCTATGGCCCTCCGGGAACTGGGAAAACAATGCTTGCTAAGGCAGTTGCTCATCACACGACTGCAGCCTTCATTAGAGTTGTTGGCTCGGAATTTGTTCAGAAGTACTTGGGTGAGGTATGGATCAAATGCTCTTAAATCTAATATCTTTAGTTGATTGCCTGCATTATTACAAGTATAAATGAACTTAAGATGAGAGACATCTAAGTCTGGAGCTGTCTGGTTGGCTACATCACATTATCTAGATGAGTCTTAGCCATTCCGGTTATACGAGCAAAAAGAAAGAGCTTTGCTTAGTTTCCTTCCATCCTCTGTTTGTAGATTTTGTCTTTTCCTGTAGTGTATAAGAAGTTCCCTGGATGCAAACAAAGCGTACCTTCTCTCGCATTTCAGATTTTCAATGATTGTAAACTTTTATTAGTATATTCTTAACAACAATTCACCAGAAGAATATTACGCTCCAATGTGGTAGCAGTTAAACGAAATAAAGATGAAGTCATCTGTAGTTTGTCTCTCTGTTAACAAAAACACCACCTAGTTACTTTCTTCCTGAACGGGTCTCTTTGTTAAGAGAAGAAATCAGACTACAATAGATAGGACTAGAATTAGGTCAAGTTTTGGAGAATATCTAATATTCTATGCTAGACAAAGATAAGATTTTATCCGAACATGACCAATCAGGTTTCGATTTAGGCAGGTTGACCTCCATTTGCCTCTTTTTTTTTTTCACTTCATTTTGGTGCCTGAACCATTTAAGTCTAAACTCTTCTCCCTGAATTAGAAGTTTTCTTGTCAGGCTTGTGTTGTACTGCAAGTTGCCACTCTAACTTAACATGACCAAATTGAAGATCGTGCTTTTCATCTCCCCTCCTCGAATTTTTTTTTAATTTTATAATCAGGATTGTATTGTACAGCAAGTTGCCTCTCTAACTTAACATGACCAAATTGAAGATCTTACTTGGTTGCTTTTCATCTTTGATGTTCTTTTAACTGGTTTTGCCAACTAAATCCTTTCTTCTTTTTTATTGCTTGAGTTTTGCTGATATGTACATCTTCTATGATTTTTGCAGGGGCCACGGATGGTTCGTGATGTATTTCGTCTGGCCAAAGAAAATGCTCCGGCCATTATATTTATTGATGAGGTGGATGCAATTGCTACTGCAAGGTTTGATGCCCAGACTGGAGCTGATAGAGAAGTTCAGCGCATACTTATGGAATTGCTTAATCAGGTAAGAAAATTCTTCTGCTGCATTTGCTCGTCAAAGTAACCTAAAAACATCTGAATAGATCTAACAACGTTACAGAAGCTGCCTTGATTTTGTGAAGGAAAAAATATTCAGTATGTTAAGGCTTTTCTAATTATGAAAACCTTTGACTTTGACATTCGAATGGTTTGTTGGTTGAATATTTTTGCCATATTGTATTTATATTGAGATTATTGGCGTGTTATGCAGATGGATGGGTTTGATCAGACAGTGAATGTGAAGGTTATAATGGCAACTAATCGTGCTGATACTTTGGACCCTGCACTTCTTCGTCCTGGAAGGCTTGACCGGAAGATTGAGTTTCCTTTGCCTGATAGACGTCAAAAAAGGCTCGTCTTCCAGGTGGGTATTGGAGGCATTTTTCTTCTTTATGTTTCTATTAGTAATTTTCCTCACACTCCCTGCATGTTGGTGGCTTGCAAAGACGTGGAGAATGGTTTTGTTTGTATGCTTAAAATGCCTGCCTCATGCTAATGTTTCAATTACGGGGTGTGCTGCAGGTTTGCACTGCTAAAATGAATTTGAGTGATGAGGTTGATTTAGAGGATTATGTTTCACGACCAGATAAAATAAGTGCTGCTGAGGTTAGTTTTTTTTTTTTTTAATGATTAAATGTAAATTTCATTCCGTATTCTTTGGAAATTTGCTGTGTCACCATTGAGCTGAAGAAGTGGCTCTCTCTTACTCCTTGCGATGGGCAAGTCATGGAATAAAACAAGGAAATGGTTTATTTAAGTTGCAGTAGTTTCAACTACACTTCTTTTATGCAGATTGCAGCTATTTGCCAAGAAGCAGGAATGCATGCAGTTCGCAAGAACCGATACGTTATACTTCCCAAGGATTTTGAGAAGGGGTATAGAGCCAATGTGAAGAAGCCCGACACTGACTTTGAATTTTATAAATAATTCCGCCTCCTGTTGAGAATTGGCAAAATGTCTCTTAGGGTTCTCAGAATATATTCTGTTCAATTGTTGTTTTCGTGTAGCTCTCCTGTAAGGCGATCTAAAGTTGGGATGATGTTTTGTTCTTAACTTTCTAGATGATGAAGATAAAAATTGAAGCTTTTAACGAGTTCTTCTAAATTTTATTTTTTTCCCCAAGGACGCTCCTATTGTTTCATATTCCCATCATTATATGAAGCTTGCTTGTTGTGTGTCTATAGGTCGTGTGGCTCTCTTCCTGGGATGGGTAGCGGTTGTGATGTAAATTATGAAGAGGAGGACTAAACCTATCCGTCCGGTTTCGTCGAATCGGAATGGAATTGAAATTATAAGATTGTCGAATTGGATTTAGTCCAACAAAACGAAGATTAGCGTGGCCCCTGCACAAGGATGGTGCCCACAAATTGATAAAAATACAAGATTGTAGAATTGGATTAAGTCCAACAGAAAGGAAATTGCAGGTGTTAATCTTTTTCACTTTTGAGCTATTTCCTCATCTTACGATTAGATATCACATGACCTCTTAGGTCTTGTTCTAATTTGCTTTAGAGTTTTTAAAATTTATTATGCAAAGTGATTATAGAGAATAATTAGAAACATCAAAAGTTAGGTTTTCTCCAGCGCAGAGCAGAGGGTATAGAATTCTTCTTAGAAAAAAGGATAATATTCCAGTCCGGCAACTAGAAGCCAAAGATCACAAGTCAGAACACACGCTAGTCTGCTGGCTGGAGTAGGAAACCGGGTCCAGGTCCAGTATAATAAAAGCGTAAAGTAAAGTTAAAGTCGTTTCCGCAAAAGCAATTCGGATTTCAAATGAAAAAAAAAAAAAAGAAGCACCAACGATGGACAAGGTTTGCTAATGTTACTTGTTGCTGTCGGGAACCTTAAACAAAGAGTACTTTGGGGCGTGGAAGATTTGGATAGAACAAGCAATTATTATAGTCGTGGCCGAAGAATGATTGCCTGAGAAAGGAGGTCACCTTTGTCGGTGGTGGTTGTTGTTGTTAAGTGTTGACAACATAAATTATGCCTCTTCCCGATTGATCACGCACGGTCTATATATATATATATATATGGGCATCAATTTCTAGCGCTCTTCAATAGTAGTATTCTTCATCCCTTTTCTCTCATTCCATTAACTGTTTTTTTTTTTTTATTATTATTATTTATTAATGCTCTACTCTTTTAGCTAATGTGCGTACCTTAATGTGTCATACGGAATATTTCATGCACTAAATCTTGGCGATGGCTCAAGATAAAAAGAGTCCCATGGCCCCAGCAATTATTGTCTGGGCACATCCTGTTCCGTCTCCTTACTGACACTCTCGCTTTGGACTTGAGCAAGCTGCCAGAAGCCTAGAACCGGAAGGGCAGAGCAGCAAGAGCAGCTTATTATAATAGTGAGTCTTCCCCGAGCAGCTTTTCTTCATTTCATTTAACACCACACACATATATATATATTTATCCCATGCCACACTGCAACATTTAATGTTAAAAATGCTACAAGCGTCAATTATGTTACGGTTCACCACATACATAATATATACATCCCATCTTCTACATGAGACCTTTTGCTTTTGTTTTCTTGGATACCTGCAGGAAGTGGGGAGATTAAAGGCAGCAGATTCTTCTTTCCTCGACGACTCTTTTTTAAGTGCCCCATTTGCTTTAATTATTTTTTGTTCTTTGTCAAAGATTTTTATACCATACACATACACAGCGCGACCGTTTTGAATTTCTGTAAAACAAATTTTTTTTTTACCACTTTCATACACACTTTCACTAGCCCTGCATGCATGCATATTAGGTACCAAAACCATTTCCTCCAAAAAAAAAAAAACTCAGATTAGATTCGGTGATGACGGGAGTTGTTACTACTTGTTCGTGGAATATGAATCGTGCCTAAATCTGTTTGATAGTACATTATACATTTGATGGATTGCAAATGTGACGAAGGAGTAGGTAGCAAGCAGAGTGATGTTCTTGCTGACGTAGAAAGCAACATATATGCATGTGAAGTTCAGGGATGTTACTCCATGTTGACATGCTTTGCTTTCTATGTATTTTACTCTTTTTTTTTTAAAAATTTTGGGGAAAAAAAAAGTGAAGGGACAAATCTCAAAAGAAATTTATGAACAAAAGGAGTCCCATATGATCCCAGAATTTGCTTATCAAGTGGAGAAAGTTGGAACCTAATGGCGGTTGCCCACCACCAAAATCTTTTAAGGGTTCAAACCTTACTTTTCATCACTTATCTCTCTGTACGCGGTTTGTCATTTTAAATGGCTTTCTCTAAATTTATACGGGTGCGTAGTGCATTCGTTTGATCCGATTGTAAACTGAAAGTAGGAGTAAATATAAAGTAGATAAATAATGATTAAAAAAAAAAAAGCTTTCAATCCCCGTCAGTGTTTTGAAAACCGGATCGGACCGGCCGGTTCGACCGGTTGGACCGCGAACCGGCCATGGCTCCGGTCCGGTTCAATGCCAGGTTTGACTTTGTCAAGAAACCGGTCAAAAACCGGTTGGACCGCGAAACCGCTGAACCGGCTATTTCCGGTTTTTGAGTTTTCCACTTTTTTTTTTTTTTTTTTTTTTGCAAAATGTAGTTACCAAGATTCGAACTCAAGACCTTTGTAATAGAAGACCAATGTAGTAACCGTTGTACTATCACATCTTGTTAGTTTTTTTTGATAACTTATTTATATAAAACAAACACTCATATTTCTTTTGTTCCATTTTTTTTACAAAATATCATCCTTTCATGACTCTTTTTTTTTAATCATCAACACACACACACACACACACACACACTCTCTCTCTATCATCTTTTCTTTTGCCACTTATTTTTAATCAAATCTCTTTATTTTTAATTTATTGATGTTTTCTTCCATATTTTAATTTTGTTTTTGTCCATTAAATTTAAAAAAGTTAAAAAAGAATTATTTTTCTTTAACCCAATTTATTTAATACCACAACCACTCACTTTTATCTCATTTTTTGTTTCTTATCAAATTTGCATTTCTATTTTCAATTCTCTTGATTTTCTTATAACTCCAAACTTCCTTTTTTAAATTGTAAATTTAAATTCCAAAATGTAAATTAAAATTTAAGTTCACAATGTCTAAATTCTCATAGACGTGAATTTTGTATAATTTCAAATATTGTGATATTTTTGGATTATATTTAAGATTTTTTTGGTAGATATAATTGAAATTGAGATGAAATTTATTTGTTTTAAAATTTATTTTTAAAAATCCAAGTTATTCAAAAATAGTAAACTTTTCATCATATAAAGTATTAAATTATCCATTACATGTCTTATTTTGTGCACATATATATTTATATAAATTATTTTTTAAAAAATTTATTGAACCGAGGTTGAACCGGTCCGACCGATTGAACCTCGACCCTTTCACTTCACCGGTTCGATTAACGGTCCGGTTTTTAAAACATTGATCCCCGTTGGAGAAGTTGGGACAATACTTGATTAGACCCGACTTCTTATTAAAATTTTGACTTCTTATATGAGGTTGACAGGAGACTTGATTTTAGTTATCTCAACCTTCTTAAGTTTGATTCTCTTTACATCTACCTAGTATATAAAAAGAAAGCCAAGTTACTGTAGCTAACCATTTTTTTTACACATGTATTGTATATATTTTTGACAAGTGGACCTTTGATTATTTTACCAGAATTTTTCCTTCCCTTTTTTGATTCAATTGGGCTAAAGGATTAAAATATTTTTTCTCCTAGAAAAAATCAATTCCATCTCTTCTTTTTCTTTTTGCAGTAACTACTGTCATCCCTCACCTTTTTTATTTTTTATTTTTTTTAAACTAATCTAACTAAGATTGTTGCCATGTTCTTTTTTTTTTTTTTTTGTCAAGATGATAACTACTTAGCAAAAAGAATTCTTTATTATTTTTTTATCCCATTTTACATTTTCTTTTCTTCCTTTTTTCTTCATCTCTAATCTCGCATGTTTGCTCTATTTTTTTTAATCATAATGTTATAGCCAACTAGCATTTGTTTGTTAAATTTATAGGATGGTGTTTTATTTGGTAGTTCTTCATGGATAAAAGGTGAAATTTTAAAATATGTAAAAAAAAATTTAGAATTCATTTTATACCAATGATCATTTTCTATGAATAATAGAACAAAAATTCATTCTTTTATTTTCTTCTCCTATGATTTGATTTCTTACTTCACATTTTGATTTCTTACTTCACATTTTGTTTCCTTTTCTTTATTTTCTGGTTACATTTTGTAATTATCTACAATTTTGTGTATTTGTTTAGAAGAAAAATATATCATGTGATGTTTTCACCAAGAAAAATCTAGTTAGGCATTCTTGTACCTCCGTTTTTCTCCATTTCTTTCTTGTTGCAATTACTTTATGGCCTATTAAATTTAATTGAAGGATCCAATAAGATTTTGTATATATTTAAACTAAAGTTAAGTTTTGTTTGTTTTTTAATTACTCAAGTGTTGTAGTATGAATTGGGTTGGTATACAAGGATTGCAGTCGGTGGTGGAAGTCATAATTGAGGCTTTCAGCTTAGAGTGTGACTTGAAAAAAAATTGTTAGAAATTTCAATTTTGATTATGAAGATGTTTTTGCAATAAAAAAATAGTTCAATTCTAATTTGTATATGTAGACCAGAAAACATGGCAATTCATATTTTTATCTAACTTTGCTATTTATATTCAGGAGCTGCAGGATAATGTTATCACCTTTAAGTAGAATTTAAATAGATAAACTGGATTCTTCTATCAAAAGAAAGAAAAATATGAAAGTTTATAGTAAGTTATATTGATGTTGAAGATTGTGCTATGTTTTAGTAGTTTTCTAAACGTTTTCTCATTATTAAAGTACTAAAAGTATTACGACTGCTTTTGATTTAGTTTTAACTAAAACTATACTACTATTAATACACCAATGCACTTATAATGTATTAAATTTCTCTCCTTTTTGGGTATCATCATCATAGTGGTTCAAAAATCTTTATTCAAATCACAATAAATAGAGAGGTTGACTTCATAGATGGAATTTTTTTTCACAACAAATTTTGAAAGAAATTTTATTTGTACTCCATATTGTGTTAATTGTGTTCCTACAATAAACAAAAATTATACGATAAAAATAATAACGAA